GTTGGTTCCAAGGGAAATTGCTTGAAGAAATGGAGAAGAGGGCTGGGTTTAATTTTTAATAAAAAAACAAACTTTAATTGGGAAAATTGAAGGAGAATTAAGGTTGGGTTTGCCCTTTTTTTTTTTTGTTTGATGGGAAGTCAACCTCGCCAGCTAAAGGAGGAGACTGCAGAGGTGTGAGGTCTTTTTCGCGTAAACCACCCTATTAATCTTTCATTTGTCAATATGTTAGAGTTCCGACAGGATCTCTGTTTGCTGTAAATCTGTAATAATAAAACGAACTATTTACAAAATAATCTTATTCAATACCATGATTTAAAAGTCATCATTTTTCTTTCTTTTAACTTCATATGACTCCAGAAGATCAGCACTACTACATTAACATCTTAATGGGGTTATAAAAAAAAAGATTGACGTTTCCCATCACGATGCAAGTATAAATGGCGAATTGGTAATTTTACACATGAAAGATTTTTTTTTTTTTTTTGCCCCCATTCTTTTGTTTCTTCTCTTACAAGGTGAGTTGAATGTACATCGCATGTAGTCGAATATCTTGATTTATTGTTTCTCGTGAATATATTTACTCACGAAGAAATTTTTGATTTAAACTCACTCTAAATTTTTATTTTAATAACCGACCGATTTTATTTTTATTTACAGGGATCGATCCACTTCTCGGTCACGTCAGCAACGTGACCGCGAAGCGGGTCGATTTTTTTTAATCTCGTCGCTAAATAGTCGGGGTTGCCAACCCCGATTATTTTTACAGTAGCAAAATTAGTCGGGGTTGGCAATCCCGACTATTTAACGACGAGATTAAAAAAATAGACCCCGGCCACGTTGCTGACGTGACCGAGAAGTGGGTCGATCCATAAAAATAAAAAGGGAGTCGGTTGTTTTTTTTTAAAAAAAGTTGGATTGGGTTTAAAACAAAATTTTCTTCATTTACTCACTACAACTTAAGTCACAAAATAGTTTATGGTTGACATAAAATAAATTGAAACATTGATAAAAACATTAGCCTTGCTGCTTCTCCCTTATGGAAAACGACAATAATACTGTGGTAGTTGAAAATTATCACCGACTTCGGGAGACGATTCCTTGGATCACACTCAGAACAATCATGCCAAATAGATGGAGACATTGCACTATAGTTATGCCTCCTTAAATGTCTGAAATTGGACAATAATTACAATAGTGAAACACAACAAATTCTATTTCCATGAAAATTTGTGGCAACAAACTGGGATTTATAGTATCTTCATCAAATTGATCCCTCCAGGATAATCCCCAATCTAGAAAACAAATAGTCCCTCATCAATTGCATTTTATTTCTCATTCTCTCTATCATTTATCGATGAGGAATAACTGCTTATAAAACGAATATAAGAAAAAAATTCAGGAAAAAACTTCACCTCAATAAACAAATAAACAAAAAAAGAAAAGGAAAAATTGAAGAATATTTTCTGCAATGAACATCCTGATGTATAGCTTCAGTGAATTAGATTCATAATCCAGATAAAGAACATTTCATCAAGTGATTAGCTTAATTATCTCATCTATTCTTCTATACAAATGGGAGGATCAGAGAATTCCTGTTCATGCTACAGTAAATTGAACAGTAATTCTCTCTCCTCCCATTTGCATTCTGAACCCGAGCCCACCTCCAGCTTCTCTCAGATAACCGATTCAAATTTCAAACTTCCCCTTCTCTCGGAATCCCCACACCTCACTCTCTCTCCCCTCTCTCCAGAAGCAACCCCTTCTCTAGGAATCCCCTCACATCCCTCTCTCCTCTCTCTCTCCAGAAGCAACCAGAAGCAAGAAGAGGGGGGAATGGAGAAAAATCAAAGCAAGAAAAACCCCTTTCTCAGGCTTCTCACCATGGACAGCCTCTACCGCCTCCACGGCTGGAACGTCCGAGAGACCTCGAGGAGGGTATTCGACGCCGTCCTCTTCAGCAACGAGCTCGACATTCTCGCCATCCCTCCCTCCCTCTCTCTCAGTTCGCGGATCCCGAATCAAAACCCAAAAAAAAAATAATGGCGAGCAAGCTCCAGCGTCTCCTCTCCTCTCTCCTCGAGTCTCCTATGCCAAAATTAGGGTTTCATAACGATCACCAATCTCCCGTGATGTTCGCATCTAAGAGGAACCTAAGCTCATCAACGCCGCAGCAACCTTCAGAGAAATCGAAGGTCGATTCTCCTCTCTCGCCTCCTCTATCGAACGATGGAGGAGTCGGTCTCGATGAAGATAGGACGAAGGAAGGAGAAGACGGAGGAGAGGACGACAGTGGCATTTTCATAAATAGAGCAACATGGGGCCGCGGCCAACTCGATTTGGGGATTGGGTGCGCAATGCACAGTGTCCTGATTTCTAACTGAAGAACCACGAAGGTGATCTTTTCTTATTTTTGATATTTGTTTTAGAAGAAACGTGAATTGAGGTGTTATGTAAATAAATTGTTGTTTTTAATATATCACAGGGCTCGCAGTCTCAATCGTTCTTTACATCGGCGCTCTCGAGCATGGAGAAAGTTTACTTGAGTAGAAATTTTTTTTAATGCTTGATTCCATTACTGCTATACTATGTTTTTATTTTTCTAATTTTGAAGGTAGATGGTCATGGGATTGATTCAATTGCGACATTCTTCTTGGATTTTGGTTATACTCAACGAGATGAACTGAGGTTTCCAAGAAAAAAGTTGAGAGCTTTGTGTGTACAGTAACAAATGTAGCTTGCATTTGCCTAGGATTTTTATATCGGAGCTTCTTGTGGATGAGTTGAGCTCTCAAAGTCAGGTACTTGCTCTCAACAAGGGCAGATTGTTTGCAATTTCAGTTTCTAATTTCCTATTTTTCTGTTCAATAATGGCAATTACTTATGCATGTAGGAAATAATTAGAAAATATGTTAAGATTTATGGAAATGGAAATAAATATGCGGCCCTAGCAAGCACTTTGGGACATAGCTTGGGAGAAACCAATATTTCTTCTTTGCTTCAGGCTCAAATTGATTGATTAAAAATTTCCAGATGAGAATGGAAGAATCAGTCATGTATCAACTTCTTTTACGGTTAAAGTAGCAAATATTGCCTTTTTTTAAGTTTTGGTGTAAGCTTTAGAGAAATGTTAGTCAAATAGTTTCATTGTAGACTATGTTAACACTCTTCAACTAAATTTGTTAATTATTACACATTTTTAAAAGTCGTTTTTATATATTATTTCAATAGCCTTTATTTTTTTCCAATACATTATTGGATCATTTCAAATGCTCATTTTTATGTATGCTCAATTGTTGAGGGGAAATAAACCTAATGTTAAATGTTTCTTGCCAAGTGGATCTTACATGTTGATGTTATCCAATCACAATTCATTATATTTTATTTACTAATTGGTTGTTACAGTTTGTTACTAAGTAGCTATGTGAGTTAGTGATTGAGAGATAATTGTTGGAATTGTATTTAAGTCTTCTTCTGAAATCTCTGATAATATTAGTAGCGCTTCGATTTGCAATTCATTATAATTTATTTACAAATTGGTTCTTACCGATTTTTTGTGGTTTATTCCTTACTCACTTGCTTCGATTTGCAGTTAAGGAGATCAATTTGAGAATCTTTATGGAGATTTATCTTTCTCTTAGTTTTTAGTCTAGAACGACTCAATGCTCACCTTTAAATCTCGAGGTATTTATTTTTAGGGATTTAGGGGTTCAATCAACAAATTTTGATTTTTATACTTTACTCAGCAAAATTTTATTGCTTATTTAGGTAGTATGTTCTTTTAGGAACAAGGGAAAACCACATTATAACTTTAATTTGATCCTTTTAGTGTTGAAAAACTGTAACTAACTTGAGAGCTTGATTGGAATGAATTGATATTTTTTTGTGATTGGAATTATTCGCTATTTGTACGAATTATCTTTTTTTTGCCGTTTTCTAATTTCAGGTTTTAAAGATTTTAATCATTTTAATTGATCGACTTATGTTGTGTGTTTAGTTATCCTCTTTGCTTCAGGCTCAAACTGATTGATTAAAAATTTTCAGATGAGAATGGAAGAACCAGTCAGGTATCAACTTTTTTTACGGTTAAAGTAGCAAGTATTGCCTTTTTTAAAGTTTTGGTGTAAGCTTTAGAGAAATGTTAGTCAAATTAGTTTCATTGTAGACTATGTTAACACTCTTGAACTAAATTTGTTAATTATTATTCATGCTACAAAAGTCATTATATTTGTATTTAAGTCTTCTTCTGAAATCTGTAATAATATTAGTAGTGTTTCTAGCTTTTTAGGAACTATGAAATGCTACTTCTCACGTAAATGCTGCCACCGCAACTCAAAATTTGTGTTATAAATTAGTATAATTGTGAAGAATGTAATGTGAATTATATTTTTCCATTCTTTCTCTTCTTTACTATATAAGAATTGTATAACTATTCTCTATAAGAATTATCAAAGTATGTCTTTTATAGTAATCAGTCTTTTAATTTGATATTTGTTGATTGACCTTCACAAATTGCTCATAATTCTCTATCCCAAGATTTCCTCTTTGAAAAGAAGAAAACTGCAGGTACTTTCTCTGATTTTATTTTGTGTGGGTTTTTTGCAAATTCAGGCGGAGTTACTGCCAGTTATTTTGAGTGGGTTTACGTAAACTATTACTTGACTAGCATCATCTCTGTGTATTATAATGAAGGCTTAAAGCAACTTCCTCAAAGCAATCTGATGTTTCACTTTCACATTCACTAGAATTTTGTTTCCTAGAATTTTACTTTATGGAGTTTATATTTGCTGATCACTTATCCCTGTTCTACATTGAATATCAAATTGATGTCCTTCTCTCCTGCACTTCCATCACTAGCTTTTTTTTTTAAATTTTCCTCCTTTGCTAGACCTGAGATTTTGACAACACTGCAGTGTTTTAATATAAATTTCCATGAAAGTTGTAATCAAATGCTTGTGCTGATGAGAAACATAACTGAAAAACT